ACACACACACACACACACACACACACACACACACATACATTCACTCACAAACACACACACACGCAGCATAATTTCACTATCTATGTGATGATGTTATATACTTCAGAAAGTGAAGGTATAGGCTAAGGTTTGATATGCTCAATCACAGGCAGTATTGTTACAGACACTGGCTGAGACTTTTTACCCAGCCGGGAGGAGACTTTTGAAGAAAGGTGGCTCTTGACAAGAAGGTGTGGACTGAGCTCATTTACTCAACTGTACATAGTGAATTTAACTAGAGGGATTGATGCGCACACACTGAAATTATAGGACAGTCCCGTTGTTCACACCGTTTTTGAACCACCGAAAAAAAGAAAAAAATTGTCAGACAATTATTGCAACGGAAGTTTCTGTTGGAGGAAAATGTTGCTTCTTAAAGGGAATAAGTTGCAGGAAAATTTTGTAAGCTCAGGCTGCAGGGCTGTTTGGCAGAGGTTGCTCTCATCCGGGTTGCTGTTTTAGAAAAAAAAGTGGATGCCACTGTGTGCTTATAAGTTGAGATTGAAATTTAAAAGTTCATGAATACAAAATGGGTCGCAAACACCCGGTGAAAGCTGCTCTTCTGTCAGAAGTTCAAGTTGATTTCCATTGTTACTAGTCGGGTTAAAAGAGTGACTGCTCATCTCCCTTATGATTTGTGTAGGTCAGAGTTTTGTGGATGGGGGCTATTAGGTTATGGTGGTTTACACGCTTTCCTCGCTAGCAGCTGAAGAAAAAGTTGTTCCTGTCTGGTCAATTTGGGTAAACAGTGGCAGGGACCTATGCAACTTGATCGGCTCTTTCATTGATTGAAGGGAGCAACAATAACGACAAGTGAATAGATTATGATGGTTTGTCCACAGTATCAGGAGTGGGTATAACATAATCTGTGCTACGCGTCGGACAATGGAAGATTTGTATAGCTGTCTTAGACAAACATCTTGGGCTGTTGGATGATAAAGTAAATTGGCTGCAGCCACTTTGGGCAGGTTATCGCTTTACACAGTGCCATTATATATTTAGAAAAAACTCGGGGGTGGGGAGTGGGGTACATTTGTACTCGTGACCTTCTTATACAAGTGACCTTCTTGCCTTCTTTCTTGGCAGGTTTGACTGCTCATGGTTAACATCCTCTGTGTTTTGCTTTTTTGGAGGGGGCTAATTATTTTATATCTTTAGTTTAATCCATATACTAAAGTAAAGAGCAATTGAACGTCTATTCTCAGGAGTGTTGTGGGATGGCCATGGAATGATTGAGGGAAGTCTGGAAACATTGTTAAAGCTGAAGGAACTGGTAAGTTTTTACTGATACTTTTTTAATGTCCAGACTCTAATATGGGATGCCCACTTTAGCTGGATCGGGCCGATCGCTGGACTCGATGGCCTGAAACTGAAAACAAACACTTTTGTATTTGAGGCGATCGAGTCCGTCCGTAGTGGGCACCCCGTATTACAGAACTGCCAAGTACTTCAATATAATCTGAGCTCTCTGATTTTTTAAATTGTCTATGGAAGAACCCCAATCAGATTTGGGTAAGATCAGAATTTTTTCTTGAATTCTGTTTTCATCAGCTTATTATTCAGCTTATAATTATTGAAAATTTCAGAAAATAGCGTGAAAACACACAATTTTATTTATATTTATTTTCATTCATAATTCGTCATGATTGGTTAATAACATCATCTGAATCTACAAGGGTTCTAGAGAGTGATTTTTCTATCCAAACTCTGATTTTTAGGGAGGATTCTGAAGAAAACTCCTAAATGTTTGGCCATGGAGGTGAAGGGGTTGGCAGTTCTGCTCTACGGCTTTTTATTTTGATGATATTAGTTGTTGTTGTAGTTGTCAGAAGTAGTCAGAACAAGTTCTTGCTGATACTTGTAAAAAACATTTGACACCCAGATTTTATGTTATGATGACATTTTTGTATGTGTCTTTAGTCTGTCTCATTGTAGTATTTTATCGTTTTTATATTTGTTTAGAGTATAATATTATGTTTTTGCCCCTTTTTAGCACTGCCATTCCTGTTATAGTAGCAGTGCCAGTATCCAGAGTGCTCAAAATCTTCTTGTATTCTTTTTGTCTACTTGAAATGTAATTCCAAAGTGGTATTTAGTTGTTTATTTATTTATTTTTTTTACAAGCTCATAATTTCATAATGAAAAGATTCCTCATGTAATACTTTATTATGCAGATGGATCCTTTATTATGTTTAGGTCACACCAACTCTGTGCTCAAATGATGAGATATTAGAAGCATTTTGATATGGTTTATATGGGTTTGGAAATTATCTTTATAGAGGGTGGACACAAATTATTTATCAGTGTCACTTTTGCTGTTTTGTTTGAAATATGATGTCTTTTATCGCTGTTTTTTACGACTTTCTCCCTTTCTCGCAGGGGAAAAAAGTGTTTTATGTCACCAACAACAGCTCCAAGAGTAGACAGCATTATCTCGACAGATGCAAGCAGCTTGGGTTTCCAGCTGAAAAGGTATGGATGTCTGATCTCCTGGTGGTCCGGGTGTAAAATATTGCACTTTTTGTAGTTTTCTTTTGCTTCTGACCTGCGCTAAGCTTTACTTGATGGGAGTTTAGTTGGGTTTTTATTTAGTTGAAAGAACAATATGACCACTTTTTGCTGTCTAGCCTAAGTGTAGAATGTATTTATGCTATCTTAGGTTTCAACAGTAAATATTTGTATGGCTATCCAGTATGATTCTGAGTATGGTAACTCCCAACTGGTCTCTTGAAGTTTGGTCTTCCTTTTTTTGGCGCCCACACAATTGATCTTAATTGTTTGTGGGTTATTTTGGAGGATAAGAAAAGTAGTTGTCTTGCCGATTTGTTATCCCAGGTAAACAGTACTTTCTATACAAGTTTCACAGTAGTCTTCGCCTAAAATTTTAGTGTTTGGAGTCAGGAAAAACTGTTAAACTAATCACCATGACTTTTAGCAGAATTGGGATTAAGTAACCACGAATGATGAAATCAGAATAATGTCACTTTACTAGGTACCGCAAAGAAAAATGTTGAAGTGTTTGAAAGTATATTTTTCATTATTGGGTCAGAAAGAGCTGTAGGAACGATGTAATTTATTTCATTTGTCAACACTATTTGCTAGAAAAATAGGTTGAATTCGAGACGAAATTGACTCTTTGCTTGACTCACGTGCACATTTTCAGTGCTCAGATTAAGATTTTTAGGGTACTTGCCTTTACTATAAAGTCAGCAAGAAGGTATAATTCTAGTGAGATCTGTACCGAGTCACAACAGCCAGATTTTGTCTGAACAAGATATGCTGTTTACCCTATCCGTAAATCGTGTTTTACTATCGTCCGTACGATATGGGGAACTCTGTGCCATAACGCTCCAAAGAGGAAATTTACTCGTTAATCCGATCAGTACGCTTTGCACAACAGTCGGTCAAAATGATATTTTGAGAAATACTGAAAGTTTCAAAGAGATCTTAGTACTAGAAGTATTCTTAAATGTGAAGAATACAACCCGGGGGTACAAAATTACCCCAGGACGTACGGAGAGGGTTAAAGCATTGAAGTAGAGATCATTGTGTTTAGAGCAGTGGCTCAGTCAGACTACATCTGTAGAGATCAGACAGTAGCACATGTTGATGAGATGAATTTATCAGAAATCGCACGTGCTCGGATGACTTGACACCTGATTGGGATAGAGTCGTACATGAACCTACCTGCAGAATACGACCTTAGAAAAGCTTGAGGAGGTTTGAAAAGTGTACTAACAGTAAAATGAACACTGATTTGGTCAGTCAAGTAAACTGTAAATGTGATTGAGAGCATTTGACTTGGGTAGAGCTTAGAATGTGTACTTTGAAAATGTAAGATTGTTTTGTCCTGCAAAGCCTTTATTGTTTTTAAAATTTTATCTTAAAAAAAAAAAAGAAACAGGATCTTTAGTGAATAAGGATGTTAGAAAGTGGGTCATATAGATCTAGCCCATTGTGTTCCCTCTTTTATTTTACGTACATTTATCAAAAATTTACAAATGAATAGTTACAACTGTTAATTACTGATTTTGCTTGCTTTTAGTAATTGGAATCTGTTGTTGAGTAACTAGGTAATACAGTAGTCTCTGCCTAAACGCACGCCATACAAAAGTACGCTCCGCTCAAACGCACGTTTTTGTCCTCGACGTTTTTTTTTACTATATAATTTAGACGTACAAACGCACGGTCACTCCCCCTAAACGCACACTCCAATCTGCGAAACACACTGACAGGTAAAGCTTGACTACGGGAAATTTCACTATGACTACTGTACGATCTGCATAGCTTGCTGAAGACAAGCCTAGAAAACCGGATATTTTGCGAGACTGCCCCTTACGCCGAACAAAGAGAGTGATGGACAGCATTTTCACACACAACTTTCCAGACACATAGGTCTAGGACTGGTTGGTGATATGCTGGGGGGTTGGAGGACTGAAACGTTGTTGGATTGGTCACTGGAAATGCATCTCTTTGAGAGAAGGTTTCTGAGTGGTGTTTGAGTGACTGCGTGTTGGCTAATGTTTAGTTAGACCTAAGCCTATGATGTGCAACACGCATGAATGCTCGTTCATGAATTTACGGTCCGGGGTGGTCGCTTGGAAAGCAACGTGGCTGGGCCGTCGTCTCTATGACTATCACCAACAATTTCTTTTTAGGCTATTGGTTCCCGACATTTTATGGTGCATTCATTACATCGAGTCTGTCTTTCTGCCCCCCCCCCCCCCCCCCACATACATACATACACACCCATCCAACGCCTTTGCAGTCTTAACCGCAGTCGTGGAATCTTTTACAAAACAGTCACGTGTCGTCACATTATCGGCCCAAAGTGACCCCCACCCCAAAGGGAGGTCACTAGAATATCAAGGCAATGAGATGACCGTGTACCTTCCTCACACGCTAAGGAGCCCTCCTGAGTACCGTGCGTTTAGGCGGAGACTACTGTATGTCATATTGTCACAGAGTGACTGATAGTAGTGATAGTGAATATTTTTTAAATTTCATACTAATATTTTTTTATGTACCACAATGTATGCTTTTCATTTTTTTATTTCTCTTCTTTTCTCATTGTCCAGGAGGAGATTGTGTGTACAGCCTATATTGCTGCGGCGTACTTGAAAAAGATCCAGTTTGAGGGTACTGTGTACTTGATCGGTAAACCGGACTCACTAGGCGAAGAACTCAGCCAGGTTGGCATCAAGTATGTGGGAACAGGGGTGAGTGCGACATGAGGACTGGAATATTTGACCTTACACTCACTCATTATCTGAAGTGAGAGGGTATGTTCATAGTTGTACCTTCCTTGCTTTTTTCATGATAATGATAATAATACCGGTAATAATAATAGCTCGTCCGTCAATATCTGAAGATGACCGGTATATCCGCAGAGGAGAATGTTTCTCGAGCAAATTAGAAGAATCAAAGGTGATGAAAACTTGTGGCTTCTGCTGTGGTCTATGAGACCAAATTCTGGCAGAGAAAAGTTGGCGCCATTTTGAACATTTAAAAGCGTCCCCTCATGACAGGATAGAAAGATAAGATTTCTGCCTCAACTCGGTATATTTCCTGTACGCAATGGTAAATTATCGGGCGTATGATGACTTTTTACGTCAGGTTCTTTATTAGTTTCCTGCTTACAGTGTTGTGTGTAATAGCCAAGCAAAGAAGAGCTAGTTATATAATGCTGACCTGTTCATCGTTTTGATTTAGAGGTGGACATTTATAGCTTTGCCAAAAAAGTAGAAATGTGTTAAAAACAATAACTTTTAATTAATGAATAGAAACTTCTTTCATCAATGGTTGCAAGGTTGACACATTGGGGGAAGTTCTGATTTTATTCTGTTCAAATGGAAGTTGAACTGCATATGTTCTGTTCGTAAGCGGAAGATCGGCGGTCTTTAGGTCATTGACTTTCTCACCCTGCATCAGGACATAGGCCATGAACCATCTCTTTCCACCTTTTTCTATCCTGGGCTAGCCTCATGATGTTATTCCATGTCTTCCCACTTTTCTGTACATGATCTATTTCTGTTATTATTCTCCTGGCTCCACGTGGTCTTCCCCTTGATCTTTTACCCTGTGGTTCCAATACAACACTTTCTTTGTATTGCAGCTGCCTGGCTTCCTGAGAGTATGTCCAATCCATCACCATGGCTTTCTTCCTACCTCCTTTCTGACTAGGATCTCTCTTGTTCTCCTCAAGACTTCCCTGTTAGTGACCTTCTGTCCATCTGATCCCCAGTAACTTTCTTAGACTCTTATTCAAGAAAACAGGGAACCTGTTTATACAATTACAAGTCTGAGATGCGTTCCATGTCTCACATTCATGCAACAGGACACATCACATTTGAATTGAAAATCTTCAGCCTTGCTCAGAGTGAGATATCCCTGGTCCTCCAGATCGTATTCAAAGATATGAAAGCAGCTACCTGTGCCTTTCGGATGCGGGACTTTATTTCAGCACCTGTTCTTCCCTCTTTGTCAATTATAATGCTCCCAAGATAGCAGAAGGATTCAACGTCTTCGAGTGCATTTCTTCTATTGTGACCTGCTCCTTTCATCGTGCATCAATCTTTAGGACCTTTGGCTTTCCAGGGTGGATCCCCAATCCAACAGACTGGTCGTTAGATGTTACCTTTATTTTTAGAAATGTTGGCATTCTAAAGATTATTGACTGTTTTATTACATCATCCCCCCAAAAAAGCCTGATCCTTTGCAAGGAAAACTGAAAGACTGGCTTGTGATGGAATTAGATCCCGAGGTATTTTTATTGGTAGATGTTGAATTTTTGACATTTAAAACTTAAAAGGCTTTTCTGAAAGTTGTGTTTCTTTTTTATTTATTGCAATTGTTCAGTAGTTCGCTTTTATGGGATAGAATATTGGAAACTGTATTAATATTATATGTTGATTTGTATTTTTGTGCTGGTTGTTACTGTTTTAAAGGATGAAAATACATCATTTTGGATTTGCTGTTCAAATACTTATGTTTCTAGGGTATAATATGGAGTAGAGTCCTCTTAAACTGAACAAGGTTGCTTGGAAAACAGTAGTAAACTGAAAGAAAAATATGAAATGCCTGATTTTTATTAATTTTTTTCCTTCTATTTGAGCAACGGTCGCACAGATTTTGGTTTAAGCTGACTCCATTGTATATTATATACCTTAGCTCTAAAAATGTTGACCCTGCCTTGTGAACACTTATTTGATTAAAGGGAAGTCAGTGAACTGGGTTTTTTTTCTTTCCAAAGAAGATTACTTCCCTTTTGTGATGTATGTTTGCTTTAACACTTTGCCATCACAAGGCTCATATAGTAAAAACCCTTGCCATCTAAGGCAAAGGCGTTTTGGGAAAAGTCCAAAGAAACTGGGTGGAAAAAATCTCCGATCGGCGAGATGTGACGGCAAAGTGTTAAGTAAGTTGTTGCTGTGAAGTTGTTGAAAGTTCTTGAATTGGTCGGTCTTAATTAAAGGGCATGGTCTTCGTTTTGCTTTTGATATTTTTTTGGTTTTTGTTAAGGTTTCATTCATTTTTTTTGTGTTCCTTTTTTCCGTTATGCTTTTAGCCCGATCCAGTGGAAGGCGTTGTTGAGGACTGGCTTAAGATGTCTGTTAATCCAGAGGTAATTTGCTTATCATGTTGAACATGAATCTTTGCAGCTTTCACTTTTAAATGGTATTACGATTAAATTACCTTTAAGATTAATTTTTTTAATTAAAAAATTTTTCTTCACAGACAATTAGCTTTTTCGTATACCACCATTAATATTCCCAGCCTCCAATACGGCAAATTCAAAGGAAACCGCAGCTTGTGTGATCTGTCTCCAGTAAGAATAGGGATAAACATTGTGTGTTTGTGTGTGTGTGTGTGTGTGTGTGTGTGTATTGTGTGTGTGTGTATACCGAAACAAAAAATGTCGATAATAATAATAATAATGATAATTATCGAATAATAATAATTGTGTAGAAGAAGAAGAGTCATCACCATTATAAAATCGTAATCATTCATTACCATAATAATGAGTATTTTTCATTACTATTTGTGCGAATGCAAATTTTATAATGCATTATCATTACACTCCTTTAATATTTTAATCCTGTATGGATTCCATAAGGGCTTTTATTGTGACTGTTTTACCCCATAAGACCATAGATAGCTGATACATGATTACAGATTTGTAAATGTTATTTTATCTCCTTCAACTAGGTACCTCAAAGTGAAAATTCAAAGAACTCAGATTTCAGATTTGTGCTTACTAGTGTATAGATATTGCCATTCCGTAAATTTTAATACCAAGTTTATGCCTGTATCTTGATTTTTAAGAAAGTTATGGACATTCTTAATAAGGAAGCAACGTCACATTTCGTAAAGTGCTCCGAGTCAAAAGCCCTACTTTCGGATGTCACAGTTCGGTGAATTTTAGACTGACAACCACAAAAACTTGTGAACACACAGTCATGCACATAGAAAACAAGCCCAATTCTTTTCAAGGGTGTCAAACGATCAGAAGGCTGTAGTTTATTGAACCAAACATGGCTTCGGGCAAAAAATGGTCAAGGGAGGTAAAAAAGTGAATTTTTAACAAATTGTAAAAGACCACTGTGATTACAAATACTAATCTATGTGGACAATTCATACACCAAAATGTTAAACAATTCAAGATCTATACACATGTACTACGATGAAACATGTATTTTGATTCTGACTGGTGCTTCAACTTCCAGGTGAAGTGCGTTTTGGTTGGGTTCGACCCTCACATCAGCTACATGAAGATCATGAAAGCTGCGACCTATTTGAAGAATCCAAACTGTCTCTACTTGGCCACCAATGAAGACGCAAATCTCCCAGCCAAAGGAGATGTCATAGTTCCAGGTATGTTGACAATGCTGCCAGTGCTTTTTTTTTTGACCATCTTTTTCTTTATAAAAGGTAAAAGTTGATATATAATATGAGGTAATACTTTCCTAGTCACTTTTTAGTTTGTTCCAGGTAAAAGTTAATATACAAACATTACTTGGAAATACACTCCTTGCCTTCTTTTTGTTTATCCAATAAGAGTTCAGGCCGAAGGGCTTGAAGACAGATGGCCGCTGGATCGGAAAAGTAAAGTATTGAAAGTAAGAGAGGATATAATGAACCAATTCCCTCCTTGACTCCTTGTCACTTTTTTGTTTATCCAAGGAAGGAAAGAGTGGATATAAATAATATAGTACTTTCTTTGCTGCCGTTTTGTTTATATTCGAGTTACACGTTGATATAACCACTGAGCTTACATCCTCCTAGCCATCTTTTCTGTTTATCCAAGGCAAGAGTCGATATATGGAAAGTGTTCTTGGCCTGTACCCTGATGTAGATGTAGGGAAAGAAAGGCAGCCTTCTTCTTTGCATTCCCCTGCTAGATAGTAATAATGATGTGATGTTGCACATAGAGAACACGCACACATAAAGAACAGATTTTTCAGGTCCCAAAGTTTTCTTTTATACGTGAATATTTTTCGTATTCAAAACCCATACACAGTGAAAATCATACATATAATGAACAGATTTCCGTGTCATGCAGGTTTTACAATGTGCGTGCACCTAGACTGTATTTTTTTTTCCCCTTGTCGTGTGTGGGTGGTTGACGGGTGCTCTGGTGTGGTTTACTTCTTCTTTCCTATCAAACATCTATCGTCCTTATCTCCCCTTCTTCTTTTTTATGTTCATTACTCTCTTGTAAAACCTCTAATCTTCTGGCGCTCGTATGGCCTTATGCGGTTGTGAGTGCTGTAAAACCTCTACTAAAACAAAAAAACCCATCTATCATCCGTATCTCCCCTTCTTCTTTTATATGTTTTTAACTCTCTTGTAACACCTCTAATCTTCTGGCGCTAATATGACCTTATGCAGTTGCGAGCACAGTAAAACCTCTACTAAAACTTAAAAAAACATCTATCATCCTTATTTCCCCTTCTTTTTTTTAATGTTTGTTACTCTCTTGTAACACCTCTAATCTTCTGGCGCTCATATTCATATGACCTTATGCAGTTGCGAGCGCTGTAGTAAAACCTCTACTAAACTAAACTTTTGCCGCTTCCCCAGGCACGGGCTGTATGGTGGTGACCGTGACCCATGCGGCCAAGAGGAGTCCGGAGATCATGGGCAAGCCTGAGGCTCACATGTTTGAGGTGTTACAGCAAGCTCATGGCCTCGACCCATCTCGCTGCCTCATGGTTGGAGACTCGTGAGTACTTACTTCAACTTTTTGCCTAAGTCCGTTTTTATATTATTGTTGGTACTCTGAAACTCGTGGAGAACCCAAGAAAAAAAATTATCGTACGGCGGAGCCTGCTTAAAGCGTAAAAAAAATAAATCTGAAAACAGCAGAGTGAAATAAAATAAAATATCAGGGTTTTTTTCTTCTTCTTCTTCTTTTTCTTTCAAGCAACCTCTCTACACCATAGACCTGGCTCAACTGAAGAAAGTCTCTTGATGCTACAGTTTCAGTTTTAGTGGAATCCTGTGTTACGTAATTGCAAATGTTTTGCCTCTCATCCCATGTCGGTTCAGTTTATCAGAAGATCATAATATAAAATTAAAAGAGGTAAACTGCTTCACCTTTTTCTGTCCGCGCCGCCAAAGGGCAGTCGGAGATACTCAACAGAACACCTCCTCTCATTGGAATCTGCACCCAGTTATGAGGACTTTGTTCTTTGCTAATTCAGATTCGGTGTCTGCAACTTTGTGGTCATGTCAGCTTATTAGGGAATCAATTATCTGCTCTTCCTTTACGTAGAAATTTTTTTTCATGATACTGTTTCTGAATTCATGTTCAACTTAAACTTTATGGTGACAGAATCCAACTTGTTCAGACACAACAGCTGAAAGGATGCGTTGTGAATGAGTTATAAATGTTTATTGAACCAGGTTTTCGTTGACTGGTTTCATGGCATTGGTGGACAGGACAGAAGGGTGAGAGGGCCCAGCTGTTGCTGGATGGGTCACAACAACAACAACAGCCAGGGGTGGCTAGTGGGACTAAAAAGTGGGCGTGCACAATTAAGCTATCACAGGCTGAAGATAGTCAAGGGCGTAATATTAATAATAAATGAGATGGTGTATAATTTTAGGATCTTTATGTTGGTGAGGGAAGACCTCATGCTTTTATTTCATTTTTTTTACTTGTCGCTTTGATTTCTGGAAATAAATTTGTTTGTTAGCTAAACCGTAACAGATGATTTAAACAATTTGGACGGCACTGCACGACCGTACTCTACGGATGAACCGTGCCTGACAACAACATTGACTGGTTTCTGTACTGTTTCAGACTGACCACCGATATGAAGTTTGCCAAGAACTGTGGCATGAGGTCGCTGCTTGTGCTGTCTGGTATCGCGACATTAGAGGAACTCAACAGCAAGGACGCGCCATCAACCCCTGAACTCTACGCCCCTCGTTTAGACGAACTTTTGAAGTATATATGATAAGTCAATAGCTAGGAATCTTAGATGGATTTATTATTTTTTTATCCTTCCCTGTGAAAGGTTCTTTCATACTTAGTCAAAGACTATAGCTGTTTCTTTAAATAGATGTTTTAAGCCTGCTGATGATTATGATACATATAGCTAGCTATACCAGTGCAATTTTATGTTTTGTACATTTAACAACTCTGAGTGTATTTTATTTTTACACATTCTCATAATATGTAGCAAAGTCAGTAAATGGCATATAATGTATTTGTGCAAAGACCACCCTGATAGGTTTTGGGAGGAAAAAAGTTTAAAAAACTGGCTCTCAATTGTTTGGTGTTTGTCATTTTCATCCACCGGCAGTTCATCTAGTAATTATGTTATCACTTGTGATATTTGTTTCCTACATTGTACATTTTTACAAGTGTTTAAAACGCACCGTATTTTTCATGCTAACCAGGTGCTGTTGAACAGAATAAACTGTTTTTTGTCTCGATCAACTTCAGTGTTGTACAAAGGTCTTTATTTAATTGGTTTGCACCAGGGTCTGTAGGGTCATGTTCATACTCTTCACTATGGGATCATTCCCACATGGCTGTGCAGGAAGATATTTTATAGAGTAGAGCTCTTGTCTTTCTGTGGCTGTTTAGCATCTCAGTTTTCTCAGACAATCCACGTTTGCTGTGACAGGAAAGGTCGAAGCATTCCACCTAGTAAAATAAATGGTCACTTTTAAGCACAAGGGGGCTATCCCGAAAACTGGTGTTTTGAGAAAATCGAAAGTAAAGTTCCTTCCCCTTGTTCAGTTTCTTTAAAAGACAAGGAGAGTTTTCTCTATACTATATAACCAAACAAATATACTCACCAACGAAACCGAACTTCTCCTATAGGTAGGGCAATGCCAACTTTTGGTGTAGGTAAAAATTTCTGGAAACCCCTGAAATCTGGGCAAGTCCGCTTGTCCTTAAAAACGACCAAATGTGAGGCTTCGTGGTGAAATCAAGTGCTTGTCATAGTAGTGATATCAAAGAAAACAGCATTTTTCTTCTTCCCGTTCAAATTATTATTTTAAAACAAATTGCTGTGTGGACTTTACTGAAAAACGTTGATTAAAGGCAGTAAAAATGTAATTTACAGTTTCCAAGGACTTTAAAGCTTTGTAAGTCACCTGAATTTGGCAGCAATTTTCTCCCTTATTTTTTTACCTCTGAAACCGGGTGACCTCTAGGCTGGCTCCTTCAGTTTGAAATATGTCTACTTCTATTGAAGAGGAGATGAGTATTTTTTTCATCCAAAAGCAAGACAAATGAACAAGCTTTAAGATGTTACCAATAACTCCATATGCCCCAAAATACTGTCCCCGCAGGTTTATGCAAAAAAAATTATGAAATTATGCAAACTGAGCCCAAAAATGTGCAATTATGCGATTCTGTTAATTTTATCAAAGAATGATGAAGGAAAATAATAAGAAATTATGCAAAAAATATCAAATTTTGTCAAATTATGCGGGGTGCATAAAACCACGGGGAAAGAAAATATGACGAGTGCTGTTGTCCACTGTGTCATGACACAAATGATCTAAATTGTGTTGTCAGGGGCATAAAACCTGTATCATCAATAACTTGCTGTGGAAATATTCACCCACTTCTTGCAGGGTTGAACAGTTGATGATGGAAAATATTCACTTGGTTAGCTGTGTGTGAAGAGGTGGGAGTGTTCAATTTACCAAAAGGTTGTTGATTGGTGGGTTGTTTGTGGGTTGAACATCGTTTAGATTTCGTGGATTACATTCGTTCAATAAATAGGTAGACAAAACGTAGTGGTATTCTTCAACTTCAACAGGAAACAGAAAGTGCGTTTATTGTTGTAAAAAAAAAGGCGATAAGCTATGGGAGATCACATTTCTCGGGTTCATGAGAATTTGTGGATTAAATGCTGTGTTAATAAACCTGCATCATGAATAGATCGTCGATGTTGACTCCGATCAGAATGAAGAAGCTTACACAGAACTCGTGCTGGAGTTTACGTATCTGGCAGAAGACGATTTAAGTTTCCTGCAGTCTTTGGTATCGTGATTCTTAACTTTGCAGTGGTCGCACCATCTTTTTCAATTTAGGCCGGTGCGATGAATATCTTGACATTTTTCTATCCCAGTATAGTATCAATATCTTTGATCTGTAAAGACTAATACTGACGAACATGATTAAGATTAGAAAATTTGAAGACAATCTCAAAACTTTAAGAATAATTTGTGACTAAACAGTTTTTAGTTTAGTTTTAGTAAGAGTTTTACGGCACTTGCAACCCAATTAGGTCATATAAGTGCAGAAGAATAGATTACATGTTACAAGAGAGTAATATATATACACAAAAAAGGAGGGGAGATAAAGACGATAGATGTTTGATAGGAAAGAAGGAGCAAACCACACCAGAGCACCCGCCAACCACCCACAAAAAAAACAGTATATGTGTCTCGACAATGTGGAATCGGCACTTGTCAATATTGTGGCATAATGGAGTTATTAAGATAAGATACATCTTTATTGTCGAGATCCTGGCACATTGGTTTGGTGTTTGACCACGTACGCACATAAACACAAACACTTTTCTTTCCAGGTTCCTGTCTGTCTGTCTGTCCTACTTTTTTCCCTGCACTAAATCACTGTTATTGTGCCAATATGATGCTACTCTTTACTCAAACTCAAACAAAACAAACAGAATTAGCCAATATCATTATCAACACGCCTTGGGAAGTAAAAAAACAACAACCAACAAACCATCATACTGGACTCTAGCAAAGACTAAACCTGGGGGCCTTTAGGCTGAAGATATACTGCCACGCACAACTGAAGTGCGCTGCGAAACTGATGAACAGCTTGGTCGGATGTGGTGATCACACAGGTCAGCGCAATTCCATCCGACAGTGTAAAAAAATAGCGCTGAGCAGGCGAAAATCGCTCAGCGGTGGGTCCCCCCTTTAGTTTTATCTCCACGGCATCGTGGAACACTTCGATAGCAGGGTGGGCCTGTCTTGAAGAAGTGCTGCACTCACGCACGTCTTTTTGGGTCCTCACGTCAAGTCGTGTCAGTGAAATCACCGATAGGAAATAAAGACGGCGCATTTCAGTTGTGAGTGGCAGTATATTTTCAGCCTTAGATTTCGTTTTAGTAAGTGTTTTACGGCACTTGCAACTCAATAAGGTCATATAAGTGCCGAAGATTAGAGGTGTTACAAGAGAGTAACTAACACAAAAAAGAAGGACGGGAGATAAAGACGATAGACGTTTGATAGGAAAGAAGAAAGAAAACCACACCAGAGGACCCGCCAACCAACCACTCGTACACAATTGCAAACAAACAAACAAGTAAAACAAAAAACACCGAGTGACTCTATAATAAATGCAGTGCAATCACAAAATCTTTTTATTAAAAACACTGAATCAATCTTCACATAACAATTACTTTCTGTGACAACTTGTGCTCTTACCACAGAGAGAAGATTCCAGTTGACCACACAAACGATTCCTGTTGTCAGTATTTGCGGGGAAGGAAAATAAATCCTCCCCTCCCTCCCTCCCCGAACACGGTCTTAAAAAAAAAAGCTGTGGCAAGCAAAAAAGTCCTTTAGCAAAAAGAATCTTTTGCTTTGATTAACAAGCAATCACATGATAATGATACCAAGCAAATTAAGTCAATTATGGTCTGCAAACAACAAATCTGACATCCGCACATATAATATTCTGCATCAAAAATATTCAGTTGAGCCTTTCCAACTCCACACACCTAGAAAAACTTACTCTTGTACGTAAATCACATGTTATTTCAGTGGAGAATTCCTTCACAGAGTAAACTTGACTCGTAACTGTCATTTCCCCCTCTGATATCCTATACATAAGTATAAGTATTCTCACTCGTGATTCCACTTGATGGATCAGTAAATGTATCTGAACGTACAAGAAAAATTACCTGAACCAGCATTGTCTTTGTTAGAGTGTTACGGCACTTGCAACACAATAAGGTCAAATAAGCGCCGAAGATTAGAGGTGTTACAAGAGAGTAACAAACACAAAAAAGGAGGAGGAAAGATCAGGACGATAGATGTTCAATAGGAAAGAAAGAGCAAACCACACTACAGTACCCGCCAACCACCCACCTGAACCAGTATGCTCCCAAAAGAAAAGCCTAAACAACAAGTCTTCAGTAAGACTGACAAGATCATACCAAATTATTCAGACAAAAACATGAACCATATATCAGAAGTTAAAGTGAGACTCGTCTTGAACCTTTTCCCACAAAAGGTTCAAACAAGCATCACAATAGTCCTAATCCTATGATGTTTCAACTTCCTCACTCGGGTACAATTTCACCGAACTTCCAGTCTACAAGATAAATGGTGGTGTAGCCCGTTTGTTAACCACTCGATGTTATTCACATTTTATTTCTAGGCTGATTGCAGAGTGTTTCTCAACAGGGCCTTTCATAAAACTCACGATGTGAATTGGATTCAACGTCAATTTTTAAAATAACGCACACAGAAGTATGTCCTCGTTCACATGAGCTGAAATATCAACATGCTAAAAATAAAAAATACAGCAGAACATTGCCTTTCCATAAGTCTAATAAAATTAACACAGACGTTTCCTGCTTAACTCTAAGAAAGAAGTGAGGGGGGCCTAGAGTATAGCACATAAAGCGCACGCAGCCATTGTTTTGCACTAAAATCTGTTCATTCTTTTTCCGCCATGGCCACAGTTAATATGTTATTACAGTGAAATAAAGTAAAGTACATGAAGTTCAAAGGATATAATTAATCTTTCCTAAATTTCACATTCCAACATGACTTAAAACAGTGGAAAACAATATCTTTGAACGAGTGCAACTTATAAATATTATTCAGAATAAAAATTTAATGGATAGACATCCATCAGTCACCCTAGGCTACACCAAAGGCTAGACAGAATTTCGAAAAAGTGTCAAGCAATGTGACCATCATGGCATTTGAATTTAATAATAGATAGCATTTATATAGCGCATATCCCCGCTCAACAGCAGGCTCTATGCGCTTTACACTATATTATTACCCCAGCAGACCATAGAACACTCAGAAACATTCTCAGCTTCCTGGGAAGCATACAGTGCAAGCAGCTGATTAAGCGCTCAAACACTAACAAACTGACAAGATCTTTCGCTGTCTATAGCCGGATACCCATTCCCACCTGGGTGAAGTGAGGAAAATTCGTGTAAAGTGCCTTTCCCAAGGACACAACGTCGGGCCCCTGACGGGATTCGAACCCACAACCTTACGGTTGCGAGTCCGAGAGCCTAACCACTAGGCCACCGATGCTCAGCCATCATTGCAAACATAATAACAGCACTCTGGAACCATCTGATTGTTCTCAGTAGAATAATGCCAGCTAGAGGTTTATATTTAATAAGAGTATTACTATTACAGCATTTGCAATACAACAGGTCATATAAGTGCTGGAGATAAGAGGTTTTG